GATGACGTTTGAGACTCCGCCGTAAGACATCTAGCCTTTATTATGGATATCTATGCGCAGGGCTGCCTGTCAAGCACAACCTCTTCCTCTGTATTTACCGTAAAACATCTAAACCATGCGGCTGCTAAAACTTAAACTAAAATTTACTTCGAAAAAAAAAACACTTTGTGAATGTTGTTACTGTTAACCATACATGTAGTTTTATGCGTTGCTATGACGTCCTGTAGAGAGACTGGTCTGTCTGATCTTACCGCTGTAAGCACCGCGCCTGAAATCCTTGTCGGAGTTTTACGGTAATACCGGGAATGACGCTGCGCCTCAGCTGAACAATGGAGCATCGATAGAAATGAGCTCCTCTCATCCAACAGGAGCATCTGGTCGGTGTCAACAGCAGACATAGCGGCGTTAGAGAGCTGCGGTGCTGCTGGTCTAACCGGAGGAATAACCCGGTCAGTGTTTAGCCAGTTAGCGAAGCTGCAGCCATCGCTCCGGTGTTTCTAGCTAACCTCCATCAGTGTGAGGAGAGCTGAGCTACCAGCGGTCTGCACCATGGAGTTCCCCTTTGACATTAACCACATCTTCTCAGACAGGATCTCCATCCTGGATCACACTCTGGTTGCAAGTCGCCAATCAGCAGTGAGGTGAGTTAAAGTAGAGTCGCTCAGGTTAGCTGCTCTCCAGGAATCTCTGCTGAATCATCTGGACTGGAAATCAGCTGGAGATCAAAGTCCTAGAAACTTAAAACATTAGAAAGACGATACAGCTGTTCCCACAGATATACAAGTCTGATATATGTGTATGTGTATATATATATATATATATATATACATATATATATATACATATCTATGTGTGTGTATATATGTGTTTATGTATACCTAGACATACATTTATATACATATAAATGTATGTCTATGTATATAAATGTGAATATTTATATGTATTATATAATATATCATATTTATTATATATGTATATATGTATATATGTATATGTTAGTATATATATATAAAGTATGTTGGCTTGCTGCCTCTGGATCATGTGTTGTTGTTTCTGGTGTTTGTCATCAACACTGATGGGTGTGTCTGATTCCTCTGGACAGCAGCTTTCTTCATAGGTTCTCTGTGCGGTTCGGCCATCCATCACATCTCCACCATGCTAATTGAACCAAGTCCTATTGCAAAATCAAACCAGAATCTCCATAAAGCTCCTCAGCAGACGGGAGAATAATACAATCCAGTGCACATGCAGCAGGAGATAACATGTCTATTGGCTGTTACTGTTTTCACTTTTTTGCATTATAGATAATTTCAGCTCCTCCAACATGAGGTGGAAGCAGCTCAGCTCTTTGGTTCTTGCTGCATTACAGGAAGTCATTTTGAACAGGGGATGCTCTGAAAATTGTTTTGTTTTTTTTGGACAAAATACTTATGGGCCTATAGGTCTATTTAAAATACAGTAAAAATAAATAAGTATATAGACTGAGATTCACTACTTTACTGTCATATACACTTCAGTGGAACCTGGGTCTGTGGAACACAGAGACATCATCAGTTCCCAGGTGAATATCTGATCCATTAATTAATAAAACTGTAACACCATAGATTTGGTCAGCTGGCAGGAACCTGAGTCACTGTGTTTATGTCACACGTGACTCTATTAGCTCCAAAATCCTTTTACGCAAACCAAAAAGAATTAATGATAGGGATGCACGATATTGGGATTTTGGTCGATATCCGATATGCCGATATTTTAAAACTCATATAGCC